ATGATTTGGGTAACACAACCAAGCACCTAGATTTCCTAAAAAGAGATGCAGAGTGGATATAGTTCACTAAACTGTTTAATAGCGGAATGGAACTGTGTAAAATTAAGAAAACGCTTGGAGAGGCACAATGCCGTGATTACAGCAAAGAAACTGAATTGCATGAGTAGCCAGTTTTTTAGCTCTCAACATACACAAAGTAGTGTTGTTGAAGTTATTTCACAGCTGTTACACAAAAGCTAAAGTTGCAAGCACATTCCATGGGTGTCATTGGTGGGTCTTCCATGGGTTATTACATTTGACAATGAAGCAGAAAAAGGAATGGAAAAGGGGAAGGATAACTTAAGAGATGCAGGTACTTTGATAAGGAAAACCTTACCATGTTTAAAAAAGCACCTTTCACTACGGGAAAGAAAAACTTTTTCCCCGTTAATTTCACACCTAGGTGGCTTGTAGATAAGGAGATAAGTACATGAGACTTATTTTTGGAACCTCACCTAATTGCATAAACATTTTGGCCAAGTGGTTCCCAAGAACAAATTTTCTTAATTCTTCTATCAAGCCTATACATCAAGGGGAGAGATAGTGTAATGCCCCCATAAATTTAGTTTAGGTATCGTGTTAGTATTATGCTCAGTTTGGTCATCACTGTCAAGTAGTTTTTTAGGCTGTGATGTTTGAATGGCATAATCCTTGCAAGCATTTTGGCCAACCTTGAATCAAGGCATACTCCCTCTGCCACAAAGTTTAGAATGAAAAAAGGCATTCTTAAGAAGTATTATTATTTAAGGCAAAAAAAAAAGACTTATTATTTATTGTGAAAACCTAGTCAGTTTCAACCAATCTGTCAGTAATGAATGACGAAAAGGTGGAAATAGATACCATTTTCAACAACAAGATCCACATCTTTATATTTCCAAAAGAAGTGGGAACCTATGGCTTTTAGCTCAGCAACTTTGATTCAGATTGAAACTACAAACTATGTAATTAGGCTAAGGCATATGCCTTGTCTTTGCCTTATATATTTTTTTCCTTTTAATACGCAGATTGGATGCTTTAACAACCCTCACGAGCTTTTAGGATGTTCTAAAGTACAAAAAAAGGGCCTATAACATAAAGTTGGAAGAGGCTAGTGGGTTACCTTCTGGTATACAACAGATAAACTGTTAAATTCATCGAATATCCGATCTTTAATTTCACTGCTTTGAGTATCAGCAAAAACAGAAACAGCTTGCTTTGGAGGGTTCACCACACGTTCAGCTACAGATACATTATACTGTAAAATTCTATAGTAGAATAAGGCTCTGTCATGAACATCCTGCAGTCAAGCAGAAGGTTTTAATTGACTGTTTCCAGAAAACAACTTGATAACTCAAACAGTACTATTGATGTAGGAGCGGGAAAAAAAAGACACAAAAAGACAAACTCATACCTGGTGAAAATCAGCAATACCTGCAGCCAATGCTGCTCCCAATGCATTTTGGGTCTCAGGTGGCCTTTTAAAAAAGCATTTCATCACTGCAGTGAGAAGATGTAAACGAACCTGTCCGATGGCATAATCCATCAACCAAGCAAATGAAGTTATTCGTATGACAGATCTTTGAATCCAATTTTGAGAAATTCAGTATAAAAAGCAGGCTTAAATTCTACTGTCAATGGAAATCTTAACAAATACTCAATCTACAATAACAAGATAGCAGCAGTGCCCTTGGTTGCGGAATGAGATGAGAGAGGAAAAAGCTAGGAGGGAGAGGAAAGAACAGGGGGAGGTGGGGGGTTATGCGGGGAACGAATGGGTGTTAAGTAAGTAAACACACATAATAGCTTTATGAGATAAAGTACCTAAGATCAATTGCTAAGTGACTATACTATTAGGTAAATCGAATTTACAAATTTACTGCACCATATATCCACTAGAAAGACATGAAAGAAAACATCAGAGGACCAACAAGAGTTTAAGAATGCCATAATAGATTCAGCTGAAAGTTGAACCAAATTGCTCAACAACCTTTTCTTTTTTCACAAAAGGGACCAATTCCAGAAAATAAGAACTATAATCTGAAATGGCTCAAAAAAAAAAGAACATGGTTTAACATAGAGTCATTGGACAATATCCGTGAAGGTTGATTACCTCAGCAGAATGCTCCTCATCCCAGTTTTCAACTAAACTCTCCAAAATATAAGGAGCATCTTGCATATCCTGAGAATATTCCCCCAACATCCATAAAAGAGCTGCCTTTGCCTTTGGTTCCTGTACGTTTTTACTGCTTATGTTCCCAACCACTGCAATGCAATCATGGCTCCACTGAGGATATTTTCTAAGAAGATCTTTCACAAGCACCTGCATAAAGTAACTCATATAAATCTAGCTGGCAATAGTGAACTAATCATACTTTAATTTTGACACCACGAAAACCATTTAGTAGGAAGGCAGTAGGGTTTGTTATGCATATATTTAATATCCAAACATCTAGTAGGGGCATAATTATTTATTTACCAGAGCTTCAGCAGTCACATAGTCTTTCTCCATTTCTAGAAATTGAAGAAGCCTATCAACAATCGCATTAACATCATACTGCTGCAGTGCTATTTTGCCAACAGCTCTGATTGACTCTCTGGCAATGGGAATATCCACATTTGCAGCATACTCACATAATTCTGTCACTGAAATTGAGAAAACAAGGTTACAATTACATATCAGAATACTCAAGAGGGAACATTGAAAATTTACTGATATCATCTTTTTCCAAAGAGGCCCTCAAAAAGAAACCGAGAGGCTGTCTGCTTACCAATCTCATAAGTGTTGCTGTCATTTGCCACGGCAGTCAACATTTCAAGCTTCAACCGTTTGACATAAGATGGTTCATTATACTGGCAATAGAAGTGTTTGTAGTCTGAGGAAAATATATAAGGTGCCCGCATCACCAAGAGATGCAGATGACTTAAAACTGCATAAGATTGTTCTGGACTTCCTGAACTAACAAGGGTCAACAGTGGTGCTTTGATACGTTCATACACCTTCACATAAAAGGATTTCGTTAAAAAACTCCTGAGCCCGTAAACAAGACCAAGTGATATAAGAGTATTATTAGTCTATCTAATACAATCAAGTATGGTTTAATATCAAGGCCACGTAAGATGATTGAGGGTCAAAAACACCTGCCCAGAATTTGTTTTTAAATGACAAGAAGAAATAACCTAATGACCAAATTAGAAGCTTGATACAGTTTTAGACACAAAAGTGGGAAAGTTATTGATGAGTAACAAATGAAGCACGAACCACAAGATCAAAATGAACTGAAAAGCACCCTCCTTGATTGTAAATCTGCAAGGAGATTGCTTGTGGAAAGTAGAAATTTAACAACTTTCCACACATTGAATTAAAGAGTCAGATAAAAAGGGCTGATAGGCACCTGCTGATGAACATCAGTCATGGATAGGGTTAAATGTAAAAACACTTTGATAGTAGCTAAGACAACAGCCCCATTTGCATGCTGAAGTCTATCCTCAAGGAGATTCATAATGTCAAAAATCTCACTGCTGTCTGATGGCACATATTTAGTTACCAACTCAAGCACAAGGCACTGCGCCCATTCATTAAATTCCTTGATCCTGCACATAAAAACCCATTGGAAAGCATTCATTTAAAATAACATCATGGCAGTTTGTCTTACTTATACAGCATGATTAAGAATTGAACTTCAGATAAATGACAGCATAATCACCACAAGATGGTAAAAATTGAAATTTTCTCATTGATTCTTCAATTTTTATCTATAGAACATACCGATTCAATAGGTAATATATAACCGGCTTACTAATCAAAGTTTCCCTTTCCCTCGTTGCCTCTTCAGACGTGCTAGCTTCTGCGCTCCAAATCTCTTGTAGAGCAGACAAACAATTTGCAACTACCTAATGAAAAATTAACTCATTAATCTGCAAGCTAATTCAACAAATAAAAACAAAAATTTTGACAATCAATTCAAGCCTTTTAACTAGCTCTGACTTGAGTGTCTGAGTCATTAAGCATCAAATGCTTCAATATCGAAGGAAAATCAGCATCGACACAAGTTGAAGCTGAGATATGATAAAGCTTCAAAACTCCAATAACCGCCACCATTCTCACGTAACTATTGCTATCTTTCAGTCCGGATCCTAAAGGTCCAACCAAGTACTCCACCAGATTTGCGACACGTAACGAGCACAAGCTCCGCAAGGCTAGCCCTCGGATCATTGGATCTTCATCGTGGCAATCCCTTTGGAGGAAATTGATGGTCAAGAGAGCGAGATCGGGGTTGACTTTGGCGTAATTACCAACGTAAAGATAGCACATTTTCTTTAAAACGATGTCGGATGTGGCCGAGCACATCACCATCTCGCCGAAGAGAGACGACACGTCGATTCCGATCGTCATGTAAGAGATCACTTTTTTGAAGAGCTCTCGCTTCGAATCGTCCACGCCCGGTGCTCGGCTGCCGGCGAGTTGCCGTAGCTGGAGTTTCAAATCGGAGACTTCACTTTTACTGTCAATAAAAATGAGGTTTAATTAGAATTTCATAAAAAGAGAAGAAGAATTGAATCAAAATTTAAACTGATGAAAATAAAAAGGAAAAAAACACTGAGTAAAAATTGCCATAAAATTGAAGGCTTGGGGGTTTCGGGAATATGATAGAGTTACCCGGAAGGTTGAGGCCGTGATGGAGACCGTTGGGACTGAGCCGGAGGAGCCATGGCTGGTGGCTAACTGAATCCGATGTCAGCTTAACCTAAAGATCCACCAAAGAGCAGAGAGATCGGCCGTGCAAAGAAGACGAGTGGTTGTAATTGAAGTTGAAGATGATTCAGTTACCGTTGGTGACACGTTTAAAAGGTCTCTGTTTAATATTTGGAACGACATCGCTTCATTAACAAGTGGGCGTATTTATCTATGTGAAAACTTTCCTAGCAGCAAACGGTGTCGTTTTTCACACAAGAATTTCAGCAAGGATTTTTTGCTTCGACCTTTTCCGGCGTTTCCTATTAACAAAGAAGAACAGAGTTGAACCCATCAGGTTAGTTGGACTAAAGAGTAATGGTTCTAACTCAGCTTTCAAGATTTCATTATTTACTCCTTAAACAACCGCAGCCGAATTTCAATCTTTTTCCCAAACCAAAACTACCCATCAAATTCACTTCCCCAACACTCTTCTCTTCTCCAAAATCGACTCTTTCGACATCAGTACCAATACCCATAACTGATTTTTCACTCGCCGAAGAGCCAAGGCTCGAGATTTCATTAGACAAGTTGTTTGTCCCTCCAGAGACAGAGGTTTCTTGTGATGATCCTAACTTAAGCACAAGGATCTTAAAAGGGTCGAATATAGTGGTGAGCAAGTATGCAAGGGAGGTTCATGTGGTTCAAGCTGAGTTTGTGAAGAGTAGTGTGAGGACTGAGGATTTTCCTTCTGATGGATTGCCTGAGTTTGCGCTTGTTGGTCGGTCTAATGTGGGAAAATCCTCGCTTCTTAATTCGCTTGTCAGAAGGAAACGCCTTGCTCTCACGTCTAAGAAACCCGGTTAGTGGGGGTTTAATGTAAAGTTGGTTTATAAAGTAAAATATGCTAATAGTAGAGCTGTGATACTGATATCTTGCTTAGGCTACTGGAATGTTTACCGTCAGAGAATCTTCCAAACTTAAAATGTCTGCTTCAAAGCAAGATATTTGCATTTTTATTGTCAATTCCTTAAATATGGGAGAGATATTAGAAACAGGAAAATTTTCTAGTGAATTTTACACATTCAGTAAGGATTTAAATAACTAAATAATATTAAACTTCTTTCTGTTAATGGTTTGACAATTCTTGGGAGTAATCTTAGGATAAAAACATTGTTTTTATTGGTTTCATTTGATTAAAAGTTTTTTTTATTTAGCTTCAAAGTCCGTTATTAGGTGCATACTATCCAGTATTGCTTTTATCCTTGCAGGGAAGACACAATGCATTAACCATTTCCGCATCAATGATAGTTGGTACCTGGTGGATTTGCCTGGATATGGGTATAATTTACCTTTAATTGCTTTCAACATAGTCCTTTTTTTTTTATTTACACCTTGTATGAATGGCTACAAGCTTTATTTGAAGGAAACACTAGGTGACTTCTGCTGCTTGTAATAACTTATTTTCATATTGCTGGAACATTGTTGAGGTTATTCACTGTACTGGAGAAAAAGAATTCAGGACTCTTGTTAAATGATTCATTTGGGACTAGGGTTTTTTTTTTTTTTTTTCAATTTTAAACAGTAAGGAATCAATATGTGGATATATAATCATGACTTTTTTATGGGCGTATGTTTCATTTCTAAGTATATTTGTAAGACGAGTCACTTGCAAAACCTACCATAAAAGTTATGACATTATTTAAGACGCAAAAAGTACTACCAAAATTAATAATGAGTATGATACTTCCCTTTTTTGTCCTTGTTGATGCTGATAAGTATCTACGCCGAGTTCTCTTTTAACCTCTGTTTTGGCTGTCCTCCATCGAATCCAAATTATAACTCTCAGTTACTAAATTTATGCTATTTTTCATTGAGATTTTTGTGGACCAATTTGGCTGGCAAGACGATTTCTTCTATGTTATTATCAGAAATGTTGTAGTATGTCTTTAATAGTGCATGACACTGCCCTTTGCCATAATCAATTCTTCCTTTATTATTTATACTAGTTCACTGTGTTAGCTGTTTAGAAATTCACCTGTGATTCCAGATTTTGCCTTGAGTTCCATAGAATTTATTCAATTTTTGGTAAACTATAACTTTTGAGCTAAGCTCAAGAATGCAAAGGGGAAAACAAAGCTGGCATATTTGTCGAATCAGCTCTATTAAACATCCAACAACCCTCCCCCAAAAGTTTAGATTATGCTGTTTCCAAGATTTATGCCATTATATTCGTAGATCTCAATTACAAGAGATCACTTGCATGTGGAACTTGCACAAGAGTCAAATTCAATTACACTATTTCTTAAACAGATATGCAGCTGCCCCTCAGGAGCTTAGGAGAGACTGGAGCAAGTTTACCAAAGACTATTTTCTCAACCGTTCAGCACTAGTGTCAGTTTTCCTGCTTATAGATGCTAGCATTCCTGCAAAGAAAATTGACCTGGAATATGCTAGTTGGCTTGGCCAGAATCAGGTAACCCACTTTGATATGTCCCTTATTCCATCTTTTCAAGACAGCAGGTGAAAGCCTATTGATCCTTAGTGCTGACTTCTTTGTTTTCGCGTGCTGATTTTTCATGAAGTATGTTCTCTGTTTTCCTCCTAACTCTTAAATAGTCCTCTTCAGATCCCCATGACACTAATCTTTACCAAATGCGACAAGCGGAAAAAAAAGAAGAATGGAGGAAAAAGGCCTGAAGAAAACGTGAGTGACTTTCAGGAGCTGATACGTAGCTTCTTCCAAACTGTGCCCCCATGGATTATGACCAGCAGTGTTACAAATCAAGGCCGTGATGAGATATTATTGCACATGGCTCAGCTACGGAATTACTGGCTTAAACACTGAATGGAAAAGAATGCAGAATCACGCTTTTGTATGTTGCCAATATAGTGGATTTTTTAACGTTATTTGTACATTAGCAACAATTCCTTTCGTGAACGAGGTGTTTAATATTATGTTACGTAGGCGTTCTATTCCCAACGCATATAGGAAGGAATGCTATCAAAGCATTTCATAAGCAATGTACCACATATGTTGTTGAACTTGAGATGCACTTGAGCTGAATAGGAGAGGGAAAAAGAAGGGGCGTTGTTTAATCTCTACTGGTGAAAGTTAACCATGCTGCTTGAGTTAGCCATTGGCCAAAAGAAAAGAGAATCAGAAGCTGGAGGGGTTTACCCCTTGTGAGGCCGTCAATGGGAATTAGGCTAAAATGGGATGTGCCGTGATAATATACCCTTTCCATGTATTCCTGTGATTACATTTCCATTCCAATTATAACGGGCAAGATAAGCAGTGTTTCAAGGCATAAAAAAATACTAGAATTTCCAGCATTTAGGAAAGACAGTATGCAACCCTACATGCAGTTTCCAGCTCTGTCCACAGAGATATAAGAACCATGCTTCAAGTCCAATTGCTAATCTGGTGCTCTATTTAAATTTAATTTAATTTAAACATGACAGAGAAGTAATTCATCTCTGATTTTTGCTGGTTAATATTTTGGGATGTTTAGTTTGCGAAATTTTGGATTTCGGAGGAAAGTGCGATAATCGAAGGTTTTTTTTCATTTTCAGGGTATCCCGTGTTCAGATTCATTTGGTTGATTGGAGGAAATTTACGTATATTAATTTTTAAATAATTATTATAATCTCTTTAATATAATGGTAACTTTTTTGTTAGCTTTTATTAATAATAAATACTTAAACCGCAATTGATGTCTTTAATAATAAAAGAAAAAACAAATATTTTATTTGATTTATGTTTTTATTTATAAAATATAATCAATAAATAAATATTGGGGATTATTTGGCTCAAAAATACTTTAAATAATTCCTTTTAAAAAATATCAAGAGATTATTTAAGATGCTTATGGTTCAAAAACGTCTTAAATAATCCATTTCATTTTTTTAAAGAGAATTCTTTACGGCATTTTTCAACGAAAAACACCTTAAGTAATCTCTTGTAAAAAATATAAGAGGATTATTTAAGGCGTTTCTCATTGAAAAACGCCTTAAATAATCCCTTCATTTTTTTAAAGGAGATTATTTAAGATATTTTTAACAAAAAATATCTTAAACAATCTACCTTCATTTTTTTAAAGTGAATTATTTAAGGTATTTTTTAACAAAAAGACCTTAAATAATCTATTTCATTTTTTTTAAAAAATTTATTTAAGACGTTTTTCATGCGTAAATGCCTTAAATAATCTTTTTATTAAAATATTAATGGATTATTTAAGGTATTTCTGTAAGCAAATGCCTTAAATAATCATTTTTAAAGGTTCATTCTTTGTGCTTGAACTTTGGAAAACCAAACGGCTAATACAATGAACGATAAAAAGTTACATTGCATGTAAACCCCTAAACCATCTGTATACACCCATTTTTGTCCGAGGTGCGATCAATTTCTCGATTTGGGTCTTTTCAGGCCTGGAAGAGTTCATGTGCGGACTTCTTATATTTTATTTCATTTGAGCTTTGGCCTAATTATTATTGTATTATTATTATTATTATTTTTTTACTTATTCAAAGTCAGAAATTTCAAGAATGAAATTAGGGATTTTTTAAATCAATCCTAAAATCCTGTTTGCATGAAATTGAAAATAAAATCAAGGAATTGACTGCATCATTTTTAAAATCGAATCTCAAAAGATCAAACTGGTGATTGAGGTTGAATTAATACTTGCTAAATTAAAGGGAATTAAATCCCTTTATAAACTGGAATCGATCAACACACAAGGGGGCTTTGGATTCGTCCTAGGTTATTTTCTTTTAGATTTGTGTTGTCTAAATTTTTTTTGGTGATTACAGGAAGTTCTTTGGATTTTGGTTTTGGAGTCTTGGTTTTTTTTTTTGAGAACCTGATTTGAGTTTTAAGGTTTGATTCCCCTTTCGGTTGGTTTCTGGGATTTTGTTGGAATGTTTTATTGGTTCTGAGATCTTCTAGTTTAAATTTGAAGGAAACTGGTTTTTGGAAAAAATTGGGTTTTTCTAGGTTTATGATGAATTTTTCGACGAGGTTTTATTTTCAAGTGAGATTTATGACGACCGAATTTTAGGTTCATCTGGTTTCTTAAAAAATTTGAAGTTTTTGGTAGCTATTTGAATTTCATAACGCCGAAAACTAGGATTTTTGGTTGAAGTCAGGGAAACTTTGAAATTTTTTATGAAGGTTTAGAGAGAGGTTAGAGAAATATTTTTAGAGAGAGAGGGGGATAGGCTGGCTTATGAGGAAAACAGATTATTTTTGGGTTTTATACTAATCTTGGGATGACATCGTCTTGGAGTCCTAAGGCTCGTCTATGATTCACGTGGATCTGCACACGACTCGCATGTTGAATTCAATCCGATCGCAGGTTTTATTTTATTTTATTTTTTATTTATATTTATATTTATTTTATTTTTCTAAATTTTCTTATTTATTTTCTATTTCATTTTATTTGTTCTATTTTTATTTAGATTCTTTTTAATTTCATTTATTATCATTATTATTAGTTTCTTTGAAATATTTATATAAATTTTATTTTTTAAATAATAATAATAATAATAATAATAAGATATACTAAAAATGTTTTTAAAGAGAATTTATGAATCTTACCAAACTATTGAAGGTTTCTTCATGAATTTAATTTTTTATGAATTCTACTAAACTATTAAAGAATCTTATAAATTAATTTTCAAAAAAATTTATTGTTAATAAAATATTTTGTATTTTATCCTACCAAACTATTGTAAGATTTGTATTTTAAATTAAATCTTACCAAACAATTGAAATATTTAATATATTTTCTAAAAAACAATCTTATGATAAAATCTCATAAAACTATTAGGAGATCTGCATCAAAGTAAATCTTACCAAACTATTAAAAGGTTTTACTGATTATTTCTTTGACTAAAATTTAAATGAATCTGATGACGGAGCCTTTTTAGGGTAGGACATTAGTCTCTATAAATACTCATAAGGTGAGAGAATTATATTAAATTACTATCAAATTATTAGAATAATTTTAAAATTAATTTTTAATATTAAATATTTTTATAAATCATAAAAATGATTAAAGCTTGGATAATTTGAAATCAAATTGGTACCATTATTTAGATGGGCACTGTGAGGGTGCTATAACTTTTTTCATGCGTAATCGTACTCTCGAATCTGAAATATGATTTTGTTGACTAAAATATATTATTTAAAGATACCTAAATCAATCTTGAAAATCTTCTTTAAATAGGATAGATTCAATCAGTTGGTCAATCACACCTTAACAAAAAAATATTGGTAGTGACTCATTTAATCCATGTCTAGTGGTAGGTCCATATATCTATACGTTATGACAGTTTGGCGACTCCACTGGGACATGAAAAGTCAGGTCAATAAATAATTTCTTATTATCCAAGCCTAATATAATAAATTTGAGATTTTTTCTTCTTTCTTTCTTTTTCGTTGCTTATATTTTATTTAGTTATTCATTTATTCAGTTTCATATATTTGTTATTCACTTGCATATGCATAATATGAGCTCTACACCCGAGTTCTATCTCTTAAGAGAAAGTAATGTACCTACGCTTGCATGAGATTTAATATCTCCATATGGGCTAGCGAAATACCTTTACTCAAATTGAACCATTTTTGCTTGTAACCTATAATGTGTGAATATTAGAGTGCTTTACTAGTCTATGAAAGACAATGATGTAAAGAATAATTTGAAAACCTTTAAATTGTGAAACTTTTAAAGCCGGCATGTAAATAAACCCTAAAGGTCCAAACCTAGGTTAGAACCATGTCTTTTCTTATGTTAGAATATCTTAAATAGGACACATGATTGGATGTTTATTTTACTTGTAAGCTTATGTTCTTTTTTTTTTTTTTTACATACTAACCCTGTATCTTAGTCTTTGTATCTATATTAATTTTTATGCCTACTAACCATTTTCTTTTACTATACATTCACATCATTAGATTTATCATAAGGAATATTTGCCACAAAATAATTTTAACAAAGAAAGTCTTAGTTACATCTATGAAAAGCCTAGCAAAGTCCTCTACTGGCATGAAAAAGAAGTTTGAAGAGTTGAAGTTTGCAAACAAAAGGCTAAAAAAAGAAGTTCAAGCACTTGAACAAGAAAATGATGAATGCAAAAGTTTGTTCACTGATCTTAACACATCACAGTCATCCACTAATTGAGAACTGGCTTAACTTTTAAAAGAAAATAAACAATTGTAAGCAAAGCTACAAGAAAAGGGATGAAACACTCTTTGAAGTATAAAGGCACATCCAAATGCTGAATATAGTAGTGGTAAAAATTAGAGCATAGATGAGGGACTGTGACTAAAGAATGTGAGCAAATAAAGAAATATATGTGAGAAAACATGACCAGTTAGAGTCTTTGCTTGATCGAATCACTATAATTGTTTACAAAACCAAGGCATGGTAAAAAAGATTAAAAAGTGAAAGACAAGGGTGCCAGCAGTAGGAGCCCATGGTTAAGAATTGATAGATTTTCTTAATGAAGTACAAAATCAATATCGACAAGTTATGAATTTTCTTTCTCAGTAAATTTTAGACTTTTCATGGATGTAATGTTGGATTTGGTTAAAAATTACTTTCGATTCAATAAAGATTTTCTTTGATAACAATTGTTATATGGTAAATTATTCTTATTGCATTCATATATTTTATTTATGCATAATCTGATGGTTTCATAAACATTATTCTAAATTTGCACATTATGAGAAATTAAGGTCAAAGGATAGCTCGACTAATTCATCTGAACTCAAGCTAGAAGAATGGAACAGGATAATGCAATCCGCATTGAAAAGTTGGAGAAGGCCCAAGAAAAGTTCAAAGAAGAGTTAAGCAAAATTTTAGAAGAGCTAAGCAAGCTAAACAAAAGAAAGATTACAAAGGAAGAAGCTAGACCTAAAAACCATTTGTTATAGGATGTTGTTAACCCTCGGTATCTTTTTAGCTGTAGCCCATATCAGGGTCAATCCATTTAAGGCACAACACCACAATAGTTCACATTTTCTACAGGGTACACTTATATAGGAATGCCATCTACCTTAATTCATAGGCAATTTCAAAGTTTGCTAATCTTATCTTTACTGAAAAGACAGTAAAACTAGTCTTAATCCTTAACTTAAATAACCTTAAAGAGAACAAGAAGCTAAAATTGAAGGTGGTTGAAAGTTTAGAGGACTCAAGGTTTAAACATAAGATGAACTTGTTGAAGGAAAGACTATGAGCCATCAAAGGTATAGACTTTTATGACTCCATAGATGCAGTTGACCTTTGTTGGGTCTCAGATGTTGTAATCCCACCAAAGTTCAAGGTTCTTAAGTTTGAGAACTACAATGGTACTAAGTGCCCGATCATGTATGTTATTATGTATTATCAAAA